TTCACCCTCCAGACACCCTTCAAACAGACAGAGTTGCAGAAATACACAGAGTTATGTGATACTGAGCGCGATGCTCAGTCTGGGTACTAATTCTCTGGATTTTTCTTAAATGCTTAGCAGTACTACAGTTCCCATTACTACATTGCTGTTCTCATACAGCCGAATTTATACCTGTACAACTACTTTATTCAAGCAGGAGGAAAATAACTAAAATTTGTTTTGCAGTATTTTTCAATTTATAAGGAACTCTTTTACCAATGCATGTACAGAATTGTCTTACCAGTACATGCTTAACTATAATACATTAGAGAACTTTCTCAAAATCTAACTCCAGTTGTTTCTGAAAAAGGAATGCATATGGTTTATAAGCTTATATGGATATTGTATATTAGTTTCTCCTACAATGGAAGAAAAAATTAAGGTAGAGAAAGATATATCTTCCATGGTTCTTTACATTAATTTTATGAAATACTTGCAAATAAAAATATTGCTACGTGTTTGTAATTTATTGTGTACTGTGAAGGTGTTTGAAGTATGTTAAGTGAAAATTTTTTTAAGATAAAGTCATGCATGTATTACTGTGTATGTTAAATCAATTAATATGTTCATGTAAGGAAATAGCACAAATCTCTTTTGCTTATGTGGTCTTGGAAGTTTTGAGGAAGATAATCAAGTATGTGTGCTGCCATGTTCCCACCAGAATTAAAACAAATGAAACAATTGTAAGATCACAGCCCAAATTTATGATGGTAACACTAAGAAATTATTGCATTTATTCCTGTATTTTCAAAAGAAAGTGTAATTCTGATTGCTTCAAGTTTTTAGAGATGCCTTGAGACATAAAGTCTATACCTGATTTTCACAAAGACTAGTCTCCTGAAAATCAGAGCTGATAAACATATCTCAAGTCAGGTACCAAAGATACCATAACCAACTGTTGATAAGGGAAGCTATCTTTTTTAAAAGAATAAAAGAAAAGAAAATGTGGTAGTGAGATTAGTTTAAAGATTGGAGAAAATGGTTCAAAGTTAAATATATTTCAGAGAAAATATACTTTAAACATTTAAATTAATTATATTTTATATTTATTTGCCAATGCTAAAGATTACCTATGTACTGATTTCCTTGAAGTTGGCAAAATAATTCCCATTTAAAACATTGTTCTTGTTTATTTTTAAATCCTTCTATTACTTGTGTGTCTGTTTCTGGTTAAAATCTGTTTGGTTTGTTGCAGTACATGGCGTTTGGGAGGAATGGTCACCTTGGAGTTTGTGTTCATTCACATGTGGTCGAGGCCAAAGAACTAGGACGAGGTCATGTATACCTCCCCAGTATGGGGGAAGATCATGTGATGGACCTGAAACACAACATAAACCTTGCAATATTGCACTCTGCCCTGGTGAGCTCATATAGCAACTCTCTGCCTTGTTACAGTGCATTCGATGTGGGTTGTTTGTGATTTCTTTTATTGCCCTTTGCACCCAGAAAAAAAAAAATGTTACGCAAAGTGAGTAGACAGAGTAATATTTTTCATAATTCTGACTGTAGTGATTAAAGTATATAATCAGCATGGTAACTCTGCTTGAGATACTACACAAACAATTAGTTTCTTCAAGATACTCTCTCTGTAGTGCACAGTATGTTGTGTAGGAAATCTTGATTCAGGGTGGGTCTTGGAGAACCAAAAGGCAAGCAACTTTCTGAGTGTGGCTTAAAGGGGGACGTTCAGAGGTAACACATTTTGCGTCCAACAAATCTGTTTGAATTATGTTTGCTTGGAGGTTGGTTTGTAACTGTAATTATCTATTCATCATACAAAAAGCATATGTGGGAAACCATACAGTTTTAATTGTTATTAATTTATTCAAAATGGATACCATTTACATGTGTGCAGAGAGGAAGGCGGATGTAAGCTAGGTCATTATTTGAATCCCACTTAAGCCCTTAAGGTAAGAATTTCAAGTGTCTCATTTCTGCGAGGCAGCTGCTAAACCACTTTCAAAAAACTACCCCTAACCAAGTAAACAATGTGTGGGCTTCATGTTAAACCTTCCATCCACTGAAACTGAAACTAACTAACTGGAAAAAAAAAAAAAAATCTCTATTTTTTCTAAATTTATTTTTAAATTTTTGTCCATAGGTTATGATTGATTTCAACCAATATTTTCAATGTATGTATGTATATGTGTATACACATATATATGTATATGTGTGTGTATATATATATATATGAATATAATACCTAAGTAATACAATTAGTTCAATAACCATGAAGAAGTGTTTATATATATAATTGTGTAATACTTAGGTAATAAAAAGGTGTCAGGTAGTTGTAATGTGAGAAATTTATTTCATGAATCCTGTCTGGCAGTGTGAAGGTTGCCCTTGAAGTGTTGCTTGTTGAATATCCACAGCTCACAACACTGCTGCAAATGGATTCTCCATGACCAGAGCTCTTCCTGAAAAGAGTTGATGGACATTTCATTTGCAGACTGTTGTTTGATGATTTGAAAACAGTGATGAAAGAAAAAATTGAATTTAGTGCCTCACAGAATTGAAGCTAAATTTCTTAGATTTTTATTAAACTTGAACTTTGCTTTTCTTCCGTTCAGCAAAACATACTCCACCTTCAGGACAAAATTCATGGAAAATTTTTAGTCTTGAATGCAGCTGAAAAAAATTTTGAATTAATCTAGGTTTTGGCCAAGTTGGCAGCTGTGCAATTTTGCATGTGCCTACATAAAAGTAATTAACATGATATATGAGCATGAAGCAGAGTTGTCAACAAGAGAAATGCCAAATAAAACCAGCAGAAATTAAATTAATGCATTCAGTTCACTTCACTATTGCGAAGAAACACAGAAGATATTACACTTAATCTGCCAAAATAAGCAATTATTTGGGAATTCTGGATTTTGAACAGGCATTTGTACCTAAAAGACTTTCACCAAAGGAAGTTATATACAGGTTACATTGAAAAGTAACAGTTTAAATCTTTGTTGAATGTTAGGATTTGCTGTAATTTGAATGTTCAAGTTTGTAAGGGAATCTTCATGTTGAATTCTTTAGTCTTTTAACGGTATTTCTGAAATAGAAATCTCACACGCTATTTGCTCCTAAAGATAAAGAATGGAGATGTATGAAATATATATGAGAAGCCATGGAATGAGTTTTCTGCAAAGACACTGTAATAATTGTTTTGATCTTTCCTACCCCAAATAATACTATATAGCAATCAATAAAACTGAAGAAGGTTCACTGAATGTAATTTCCATAATATTTTCCTCTTCACACAAAGCTTTTATGATTAATGACTGCAACAAGCTTCCATGTTTGGAAAGATTTCCATTTTCTGCTGAATAAATTATCAGGGCACAGCTTCATAGCTTGAGAGGCATCTGCACTGAGAACAGGCAGGCTCACAACCAGGCATTACATAGAATATATAATATAGAACTTTAGGAAAAAGCCACCAAAACTCTCTTCCTTTAATTCACTGGTTGCTGAGATCCTGGGCATTAGCGATATAGATAGTATCTTTGAACTGTTAGAAATGTTCTGTGGTTACTGTCAGGCAACAGTAAAATAGTTCACCGCTGTATTTCACTGAACAGTGGTGCATCCTTACAAGCACAGTATGCTGAATCACTAACTTAAAGATTCTGCTTCCTATTTTAATTATTAACACCACCAATTTAGGAAGCCGCTATTCCAACCCTCCTTTAGAAGAATCCCAAACCAGGGGCTGGCAAGTGTGCCAAGTTACTCATTTTCAGTGGTGGTGCTTTTATGGTAATAGTAGTTCTAAAACCAGATTTTCAAATAGGATTATTAATAAAAATTGTATTATAACCTATATTTTGAGTTTATACTGGGTAACTGTAGGTAAAATGAGGAACTGATGATTGCTGAAGTATGTAGGAATACAGGATTATGAATTAGCACAATCAGTGGTAACACATTTCATAATGTTTACACATTTTCAAAAATACTGTCTAGTCCTATTATCTATTATAGACTATATAATTTTTCACTTTTATGAGAACTTATCATTTTTTATTATTATATTTTTTAATATGTTCATTTGTCTCAAGAAGCTTTCTGATATATAAATTGAAAATAACAGTTCTAAACCTTTACTCGTGGGAATAGTAAACCAAGCTTAAATGTATGGGCTAATACAAAATAATAAATACAAAAGTGGTCACTATATCTACATTGTTTAAAAATTCAATTTGACAAATTCAGAAAGACGATTATGCAATATGCAAACAGAGCAGCACACCTGAGAAGGAAGGCAGGCTGTTTCTGTCCTCCTACCTTTTATCTCGAAAGAACGTTGAAGAACTGGGATTATTTACCTTGCAGGGAGGATGAATAATAAAAGTATATCCAGCATTATAAATGTAGAGAACAAAGGCTGTATGTGAGGCAAAGTGGCAATTCCTGTTTTCCTTTTCCTTCTCAACTAAAGAGACCTAATTTCACAGTCAGGACCAATAATCTTGTAAAGTGCCCCATCTGAGTGATGGCTGCAGCTGTAATAAATCACTTTGAAGGGCTCAGAGTTTGCATGATGTGAGACTGGCCCACACTTTTTCCTAAAGAGACAAGACTAGTCCTTTTTAATAAAGCCTTGTTTTCAGTAAGGCCTTTCAGACGTTATGGCATGTGAGCAAAATCATAATTTGTGCTTTGTTATATCGGGGTACAATTAGAGGAAATGAAACGTTCTTTACTTGAAGAAAAGGGAAAACAGTCTTGAATTATTTCAAAGTAACTTCTAATGGTGGTTTCTGTGTTTGACTGCCGTAAGAAGTCAAGGGCCTCCAGGCTGGGCCCGGTCGGAGGGGCTGCATTCAGGCCTAAGGTGAAACCCCCTCACCTAGAGGGAAGCCGCGAGGCCCTGCGCGGCTGAGGTGGTAACTCTGCTGTGTCCATCTCTTTTGTGCCTGCGGCCGCAGTTGACGGACAGTGGCAGGAGTGGAGCTCGTGGAGCCAGTGCTCGGTGACCTGCTCCAATGGCACCCAGCAGCGAAGCCGGCAGTGCACGGCAGCAGCCCATGGCGGCTCCGAGTGCAGAGGGCCCTGGGCTGAGAGCCGGGAGTGCTATAACCCCGAGTGCACCGGTGAGTATGGGCTGGCATGGGGAGCTGCGGTTCCACCTCTCCTGCTCAGGAGAGGGTCAGGGGCTGGTCTTGCTGGTAGCTCTGAGCCAGGAACTGGGGTTACCCCGGCAGGTTCCCGGGCTGCAAAAGGGCAGAGCAGCCACCGCCGGCAGGAGGCCTGGGAGGGTCTCACTCTTTTTTGTTTGTTGAGCCATCTGGAGATAAAAAGCTAAAGAGTACGTCCAGAAAGACTGCATGATGGGCTGCATATCAGATTTTTGGTTTTATCACCATTTAAAGGATATTAAACACTTTTAGAAAGATATATCTGAGGCCTAAAAAACTTCATAAATTGTTTTGTGAGCCTAGACAGTGAACCTGTGTGAATTGATTCGCTTTTACACTGAGACTACTTCCAGGGTGGGTAAATTACATTTATACCTGCTTTTAAGCCTGATTTGCACTGTCAGAGCATGTAAAAGTCTAGCTCTTAAAATATCACATGGAAAAATATTTTTATTTAGTTTTTTAAAGGATAGTTATGCACATTGTAAATGTGTATCATTACCATACAACAGCACTATACAAGTGTACAGAGAAAAAAAAAAAAAAATACAAGGGGGACAATGTCTCTTTTGCAGTCTAAGTGTAAGTTTTTATTTATCTTAAGATGCAAATCATTTAGACAACAATCCCATATTTAGGAGCCAGGTAGAGACTTCCCCATATTACATGCACCTACATCTACCACTTCTGTCACTGTTAGTTATATATGGGGGGCTTTCTTCTCTTACCGATGTCAAGAATAACCTATATATCCTCCCTTATGACTGTCATGTTGCCATTGTAACTATATTTTTACAAACAGCAAATGGCCAGTGGAACCAGTGGGGCCACTGGAGTGGCTGTTCCAAATCCTGCGATGGTGGCTGGGAAAGACGGATAAGGATCTGTCAAGGTGCTGCCGTGACGGGGCAACAGTGTGAAGGAACAGGAGAGGAAGTTAGAAGGTGCAGTGAACAGAGGTGTCCTGGTAAGATGCAAATATAATCATTGTTGTTATCTACACTACAGCGTGACTTACTTTGATAGTCATCTTTAGGAAAGACAAGATCATGTCCATACAGTAATAGCCATAAAGAGCCCTATCTGGCCTTGCTTTAGACAAGTCACTGCTGTTTTTCTCAGTAGAGTTGTGTTTATGTAGCTACATGTAAACTAACCCTATTGGATATATGAGCAATGCATCATGTTTTAAATACATCAACATGCCATAATATACTAAGTTATCAGAAAAATATTCCATTGCCTAGGTATGCCTCCGTTTCTTGGAAAGGCAGTGATTTGCTACAGAAATTCTCTCTGAATGCACTGTTTCTCTGAATATCAGGGCTGGTTTTGTAAATCATGGAATTCCTTTTATCCAGTGTACAAGAGATGTCTTTGTAATACATGTAGGGTAAATTTCAGTGCAGTAAAGATAAGGGAAAAAGTGAACCTTACTGAACTGTAGAGAAAGAATGAATATATGAGCAACGTTTTATAAAAAGGAAAGTAATTTAAAATTATAAAGGCACATCTTTCCTGGTTTAATATCATACTTAAATATATTTCTTTGCAGCACTTTTTACTTTAATCTCCCAACAAACTTAAGTCTTGCCCACTGAAAGCTAACAAAGGTGTACTTTTGAGCTTCTTCAAAAACAATGAATAAACTGGAACAGCTGGTGAATCTAGTCATTTTTATCGTTAAAGACACATTGTCCTAAAGTAAAAGGATGCATTGTTGGATAGGTGTAAGATAACAAAATAGGGTGTAAGTACTGTAGGATGTCTTAACCATTCACTTGGGAAATGATGTATTTTGAACTGCAAGCCAGGAACCAGCAAAAATCATTGTAGCAATCTCTTGGACTTGTGGACATTTTGATGGCTATGTTCTCTGCTAGTCAGAGAAACGATTTAAGTGGGAGGAATGCTTTGGTTCCGGCAATAGGAAATATATCAAATATGAATTTTATAGACCACATTTTCATAGGCAGCATGTTTATCGTTGACAGTTATCAAAGATCATTTTCCAAGGTGTTTGCAGTACAGTAGAACAGTGAATCTCATTGCATTCAAAGAACAACAAAAGGACTGTTTGCAGTTATAAAGGTGTAATACTACACTGGAGAAGTTAAGTAAATTTAACTTACTTCTCAAATGATCTCTTTATTTTTAATAAAGCATTCATTATTTGAAAAGTGGTACAAAACAGTATTTGAATTGGATTCCTAAACAAATTATAATTTCCATAGTTAATGCAGACTTCCTCTATAAAAGTACAGCACTAAAAGAAAGTGACTCTTTGTCATAAGCAGATATTCAGATGAACCAGATTCTGCTTATAAAACCATTCTTGAATTAATTTGCATTTGTATATTTAAAAGTAAAATCATGCTGCTGCAGTCCAATTTTCAAATGTTGCCACCTGCTGTTAATAAAATATTTTACAGATGTATTTACAAATCAAATGCATACAGAGCTTTATATGCTATTTGGTAAATTTATTTATTTACTTGACTAATTCCAGATTAGAACCAGCATGCTTATATAAACCATAACCTAAAACACCTCTTAACAAACTATACTTGTGCAGAAGATTATACATGAATAAAATATTTAATTTACCTGTTTCTAGACCGACATTTACTAAAACATCTCAGATTTAAATGTAGACAGTGTGTAATCTACTAAAATTTTATAAAATAATATACAGATTTGCATTTTTATAAACACCAAGAAAAATAAAAAGTATTATGCAGAAGTGATCGTTCAAAGTATAGGCAAATTTAATTATTTGTATGCTTTTCTTCTGTAGCCCTAAAATAGTTCAGAGAAGCTATTTTTTCTCAGTAGTTGTTTTTTCTGTGTAAGTCATTGAGAAACATGAGAGACTAAAATGATATTTTTTTCTTATAATAGCATTGCTTTGCCACTAGTGTAAGACCAGAACCTCAGCTCTGTAGATCTGCAGAACATATTTGTAAAGTAGATGAAGCTGCACCTGTTTGTATCACCCAGAGGTCTATAGACTTAGAGAAAGTTAAATAGTGGTTGACTTTAAACTGTGGAAGCAAAAGGAGAATAAAACTTTTTTCTCTTACGCTGGCTGCTATTAATAAGATACTTTGCAAACAGATCTGCTCACTGGACTGACTAAAATCTGGACTGGACTTTTTGTAGTTTGAGTTCTGCATTATCTGCACATTAGATGAGATTTTCTTCATAGTCAGTTAGTGATTCTCTTCAAATGGTTCGGGCAGGGTCTGAATTACATCAGACACTCCCAGAAGCTGCATATAAACAGCACTAAGAAAGCCAGGTTCAAAACTATTGTCTGAAAGTTGGTTTATCAAACATCTTGGTTTCTGGACAAATGTTGAGTATCCTTCTTGTGATTTATTTCTATTCACAATTATAAATTTTAAAACTATTGGGTTTTTCTTTCCATTGTGTAATACTCTGGGAATTAAAAAACAAAGATCTGAAGATATTTTGGCTTCAGTCATTGCTCCTTTGTTGCATCCCAAATGTCTAAGTTAGGTTTCACTCCTAGTAGGTCAGCAGTGTTAAGGATTTAGTACTCTATACTCAAAGTATCCTTTTGTGAAGAATAACTTCAGAAAATTGGAAACAAATCAGAGAAGGGAAAAAAACCTTCCAGATCTGCTAAGCAGCTAGTCACACAGGAATCATTCTGGAAGACTTACACAGGATGAAAAAACAGTAGGTCTGTCCCATAGGAATAAAGGACAGCTAAGTAACAAAAGAAATTGCAACCCATGATGGATAAGGAGTGACATGATCAGTAACTTTTAGAGAAATATGTAAGAGAAATAAGGTAGGTCCTATCAAATATGTCAGTGAAAAATAAGAAATGTGAGAACTAAGTACAAAGTACAGTATTATTCAGGAGAGAAGACTTCAGTAAATTTATTTTTAGAAAAATAGGATCATGTTCTTATGACAGTTTTAAGAATATCTTAGTTTCCAATAATATAGTATTGTTTTCCAGAAATACTTCATTCCATAATAGTTAATTCTATAATAATTCTGTACATATTCCAATATCTATGCTTTACCCAGATTTTACTCAAAACAAATCCTCAATATTTATCTCATAAGCCTACTGTTAGTGGTAGAAAACATAATGAAATTCTTTTGACCAAAATATTACTGAAAACAATAACAGACTCCCTTGTTTGTTAGCAAAAAGATCACAGTGCTGCTGAAGACTAGCTAATGATAATCTCATCTTGGTGTTCCTGCTCCAGCAGGGGGATTGGACTAGATGATCTTTTGAGATCCCTTCCAATCCCTAACATTCTGTGATAAAGACTAGCTAATGAAGGTAGAAGGTTTCTTCAGAGGCAATAGTAGCTACATAAGATAGAATATGAGAAGGGGGAAGATTCAAATAATTGTCAACAACTAAATAATAAAATGAAACCTTTGGGTTTTGTTTTGTCTCTGATTACAACACTGATTACAATACTAATCTACAACATGTTCAAAAGCTCTTTTTCTATTGCCTTTGTTTACAACAATTTTGCCTGTGGCATTGAATTAGGATTCCATAGAGGAACTGTAGTTCTAGCTTCTTTTGTGAGCTACGGTGTGCTGTTGGCTAACTTGCTTCACCCTCTCATTGCCCTTTCCCATATTTAGTAGCTGCCTAGGTAGATTGTGGACTCTGTGAGGTTGTGTATGTCTCTTGCTCTGTCTGTGTGTAGTACAGAGCTTCCTCAGATCCCTGTTGAGATGATTCCCCCTTGGAGATGCATGTCCTCTCACTAGTAGTGTCAGAAGAAGACTGTGCTTCTAGACCACTGACTTTGTTGGGTTGTTGCGCTCTATGTGGGATGAATTCAGGCCTATCATTACAGGGGTGTAACGTGGTAAATTTGAGTACATGCTCTGTGTGGGAAGATATTGCTAAATCACACTGTCTGGTTTTTGGGTTTATTTATTTGCCAATTTTAGCAGATTTACCTCAGCATTTGCTGTTTGCTTCTAAATTTTAGCAGTTCTCTGTGATTTTGTACAGCTAACTCACATTTATCTGTGGAAGTGTTATGAATTAATTGTGCTATAGTTACAGAAATACTTGAACTGGTCCTGAGCGGGGCCAGCGAGGCTTTTTAACTCATATATAATACCACTCCAACATGACTGTAATGTCTCTATGGGCAACATGGGTTGGAGCTTCACAGATGCTTTAATGTGGGTGGATGCCTGATTAGTAAGCTCTGCCAGATACACTTTTGCTTGGGGAGGAACTAGTTTGGTTTTTTATGCATAGCATTCCTTGATCCAAGGTATTGTACAATGTACTGAAAGGCACAGGGTCATCCAGGGATCAGAAAAAAATTGCCTGGGTTCAGTGATACCGCTTCCAAGATCTAACTTGCTCCCCCATCTCTTTCCTGATAACTCACTCTTGGGAATGCCTTTTACTTTGGGTGCAACATGGAGGTGCACAGATTATCTCTGGCACTAGGCTAAAGTTAAAACGTAATCTTGAGTTCTGAAAATTGTGACACAAAGTACACCAGTAATACCCTTCCAAATAGTTGGGAAATCTCTCATATTACTGTTGACTTTCTAACATAAAAGAGAAAATATGGTGTATATAAGTATTCATATATGTGCATGTATATATATTTATTTTTTTTTTTTTTTTTTTTTTCAGAAAAAACCCACATTTAACATTCATATTTGGAGGGAAGTAAGATTTTTAGTTCTGAGAATTAACACCTAAAATGTTGATTAGTGATCACAACACATTTCAAATGACCACAGCTGCATGACAAATATACTTCCAAAAAGCTCTAAGCTTAAGCAAATTTATGTAATTTATAATATTACCTCCTCATTATGTTAATTTACGCTCCCCAAATCAGAACATTTCTTTTGTTTATAAGGTCATAATAGGATGATAATTTCATTTGCTTATGTCACCAGATGGCTTATTTTTATCAAAAACTGGCTTTTCCCATCGTAACACTGGCCTGATGCACTCACTTTTTGGGCAAGTCTGAAGCAGTGTTAGTATTCTAGAGTATGAATATAACCAGCTTTCTTTGGTTTTTGCCATTAATGGATCTCTTGCTTTTCTAACAGCACCAACTGCCTTGATTTATGATTCAGGAATGCTGATGGCGAGGTAAATTTAGCAAGCAATTTTTCTGCCCAAATATGATTCATATTGGTATTACTGAGCCATCTGCAAGGTATTCTTTGTCCTCCCCGAAGACAGGGTATGGCTTTGTGTGAAAGTCTGCTCAGTTCCCTTACTCACCTCAGTCTTTCTTCAGCAGAAGTACAAAACAGGGATGATGGATAGTTTTATGAGTTAGGTAATGGAATGAGTAAAATCTGTAGACTGTTTCTGCCTCTGCTAGAGATTCCCGTGAAGCCATGGGTGAATCATTGAATTGCTTTCTACCTTATCACCTCATCTGCTATAGTGATAGAATTCCCTTTCTCTTTTCCTTTTTCTTGGTTTGTAACCTCTTTGCTGTAATACAGTGGGGTTACAATTTTCCTGAAATACATATAATAATACCTTTAAACAACTCATGGCTTTTCTCTGCTGAACTTGGAATGAATTAGATTTCAGTAACTAGCATTTGCCAGTTCTTTAAGTTGTGAGATGATTTCAGCCAGATGTTTGCAGTGTTAGTCTAATTTACTCAAAAATCATAAACTGGGAATATACAATAAAAGTACAAAGAACAAAAGGAATCTGTTAAATCATGACCATATAAAAATAAAACACGAAGCATTTGCAGAAGCTTCTTTTTCCCCATGCAGGACTATGAAAATGTGAAAATATTTTTTCCTTTAAATGGTATTGCAATAACCAGTAAAAGGCCATTTTGTTTTATAGCCACTCAGACACATATTATTGACTATACTTGCTTGATTACCAACTTGTACTGAAACACATTTCAAAGAAATAACCTGCTTTTTGGTCTTTGGAATATACAGCTCTCATTTGGTACTTTTAGTACATTGGATGTTTCAGCTGTGGTTTCAGGACCGATTCTTTCACATACAGTTTAAGTTTTAGAAAAATCTTTAAAAATGTTAGTGTAAGATAAGCATCACAGCTTATAATATTTTAAGTATCATAATCTTCTAATAGATGTTTAATATTATCAATCAAAATAGAGCAACAAGAAAAGATTCAAACCTATCAGCATTACAGCTACAACCTAGTGTTTGTTTGCTAAAGAGAATAATGGCACAGACTACATAAAATAAATACCATCATAAAGACAGATATTAAAAATTACAGATTTTGCATTTTACCACTTCATTCTTAAAATTAAACCAAATTATGTTAACATATACATCTCAGGAAAAATTAGGACAAGACTGAAGACTTAATTTGTGGTACAAAATATCTTTTTTACATTTATGTTTCTGTTTAAATTCCCATTTCTAAATGGCAGCTCCTTATGAAATATGTCCTGAAGACTATTTGATGTCAATGGTGTGGAAAAGGACCCCAGCTGGGGACATGGCATTCAATAGATGTCCTCTCAATGCCACAGGTACAGTATTACTTTGAAATTATATGATGATAAAAAAGGGGAGAAATCTTTTGCATTGTGTTCTAGACATAATCATTAGTAGACTCATATTCATATGTATAAATGCATATATGTTAATATATCTATATAAACCCCACATATTTACATATGCATATACATACATATAGTATATACACGTACACATACTCCGTCTCTTACAGCTTACATATATGCATGGCTCTGTGGTATATATATATATATGTATACACATACATATATGCATTATAGCTAGAGAGAAAAAGTTGACATTAAATCAATTTGACAGGACCTGTCAGGCAAAGTTATGAAAATGAAACAAAATTTTTTTTTTTTTAATTAAGAAAACTGCTAAAAAACCCACCAAGTGAATATTGAAATGTGTTTCAGAATCTTATACTACTCTCTATATGCTGACAATCATTGCATGAAATTGTTTCTGTGTGTGCTTTTAAATAGCATGGAGTGTAGTTTAAATAAAGTTAATTCTTTCCAATTGCTCTCACTTATATAAATATTTTCTGTCTTCTTTGTGACTTACAGGCACCACTAGCAGACGCTGCTCTCTCAGTGTTCATGGAGTGGCCTTCTGGGAGCATCCAAGCTTTGCTAGATGCATATCAAATGAGTACAGACACTTGCAGCATTCAGTAGGTGCAAAGCCAGCTTTAGTACTTGCTCTGTTTATTCATTACTAACCACCGGTGTGAAAAAAAAAAAAAAAAACCAAACCAAAAACCAACCTTTACTTATTTACTCTCAAGTCAGATTTCTGATAAGAAATGCCAGGAAAAAAATAGACCTAAGAAAGAATAATTTATATTAACGTATATTATTCTGATCTTGTATATTACTGGTATTTGAAAGAAGATTTGTCTTGCTGTAGAAATGGAAAAATCAGATTCCCTTTTTTCATGTCCACTGTGTGAAATTTTTATAGGGTTCAGAGGTAAGACATATTTTGTTTTATCAGAAAATGAGATATGAATAATTGAGATTTACTGGAAGAGTTACCTGCTGAGTAGGTTTATAATACTTTGATTTTTTTAATTGCACACTAGAAAGTCAAAACCAACATTTCTTTTTGCTATCAAATTAAGAATTTCAATTTCAAATGTGAGAGTAGAAAATGATTATAGGGTAAAGCTATTGCAGTGTCTTTGAAAAAGTAAAGTAACTCTAGATGAAGAAATATTATGAGGTTTTTTTCAGTATACTGAACAAAAAGTTTATTTAAAAAAGCATATGCATGATACATTTATCTACTGCCTAAATATGTTTATATGCATAGATTGTATATTGCATTATAAATATACTACCATAGTATATGTTAGATATGTTGGTTACTTTCTATTTCCATAGGCAAGGAATTCAGCCAGTTTAATACTATTGTGGGAAGATCTACTTTAAAGATTCTCATAGACAATGGTTTTTGCCTGCATGATATATTTTACTGACATTCTTATTACTCTGCCTCCTTTTCCAAAGGCCACTGCTCCATTAATCATTCAGTAGAGGGGCACTAATACAGCTGTGTGCTTAACTTCCCAACCTCTCAACCAAGTGCAACACTCCTGTAGTATGTTTAAAAATCTTCGGTGCCTTGAAAAGTAGTAGCCTGGCTGTAATACCTCAAATCTGTCTTGCCACTTAGAGGAGATTTTGATTAATTCCTTTGAGCTGCATTTCTGTTTCATTAGATTCAAACTTAATTGAGGCCTGGCATTCCATTTCAGGGTAAGCCAAAGCAAGCATTATTTTTAAAATAACACAGAAAAAAGTGTCAAAGCAATTTTCCCCACTACAGAGAAACTTTACTATTTTATATAGCTGTTTGCATGTTACTCTGTCCCTTTAGCATCCAGTGTTAGCTGGAAAGAACAACATTAGGTGGGCTGTAACTGTGTTGTGTTTTATATTTTTGATATTTTATTCTTTTGCCACAGTTGCATATAATATGACTAAATGTACTATATGGGCATGGACAGCAATACATTTGTATTTCATTTGCTTAGAATCTATATTTTGGTTAATAGCACAAGGAAGTGACTGTAGGTAATACGTATACAGTTTTGAGTACTAATAATGTCATATTGCAGATCAAAAAATTCACATTTTGTGATTGAAAATGTTGAGATATTTCAAAGGGAAGCAAATTGCTTCTCTTTTACTTGCTATTTTTGCATTTTAATATTACAGTGTTCTGAAATATTTAAAGGATTTTGAAATATTTTAAAGGATTTATTAATCTTGACCTGCCTGACCAGAAGACCATCCCTTTAGAGTTTTGTTCCTCTGCCCTTACCGTTTTACATTTCATATCAACATTTATTCATAGTGTTGATCCTCATGCCACTGATTCTGTAGTGAGCTTCAGCTTTTTCTTTTTATGTTATTGCTAGAAGTCATTCATAAGCAGCTCAAACAGTGGGAAATGCTTTTTCATGTTTTTCAGTGGTTTGACTTACTTAGCTAACTTTTGGTGAGGCACTAATACTTTTTTAAATGCTGCACGTCTATCTGGCAGGAAGGGGTCATTATTGGACAAAAGAAGGCATTTCTAACCCAGATCGGATTTATCTATTTTTCTATATTTCCTTTTTCAAAATATTAAATACCATTAGACATACTGTGAAATGATATTTTGCCAAAGAACATTTAAAAATAGCTAAAACTTTAAAACTACACAAGAATCTAAACATTGTTTTATTTATGCACAATATTTCAGTCTAGTTTATATGCACATAATTAAAGGAGAAAAGTGGATTTCTTTTGCACTTGAGACCTGTTCATAAAGAAAATCAGCTTGTCTTACATCTTACTGTTTCTCAAAGTGAACAACACAGTGTATTTAAAGAACTGTAGAAAAAGAGGTAAAGACCTATAAGGTCATCGCCCTGCAAACGTAGGCCCCCGCGATACATATGCCAACTCTATAAATCCCTGAAAAAAGGGCTTTATAAGGAAACTACTGACAGACAGTGTTGTTATAATAAATATGTGTGCTTATGAAAGCATTTATGAGATGCTTCACTGTGCTTAACTTGCCAATAATGTTATTTTACTAACTCAGACCAGGAGTAGTGGGGGGTGTCACTCAGTTCTGTGAATGTTGCCATAAAATCTGAGTCTGAGCTTAATTCCTTTCATTTCTTACCTGAAATACATAAAACAAAAGTAGGTGTATAGTCTTCAAAAATGGTATTTCTGAAGTTGATTTAAACCAGTTTTTATATATAATATACATACAATACTTAATACATTAAAGCATGACCACCTGGAGGAATAGAGATCCTTGTTTCCAAACAAAACACATATGTTCCAGAACCAGCCCAGAAGTCATATAGTTGAATTCACATGGTACTGTGCCCAAGAAAATACTCTCTAAAGAAAAATATTTCACATGCTGGGAGCCAGAGAATGTTGCCTTGGACACAGACCCCACTAACCTGGCTACACAGATTCTGGACTGGAAGCTTACATTATACTAATATATAAACTAAACAGGTTGACTGCCCAAGCTTAAACAGTGTCCTTGCAAACATATGCACTGTTTAACTACTTTTCTGCTAGCACACTCCCTGACATGATTTAAGACCATATCAGTGAGCACTTTCCCAAACAATACCTAGTATCCTTTAGAGGATAGCATGGCAGAGGCACCATTTCCAGCAAGCAATAAAACTATCGTTGGGACAGAGGAAGGAGTTTATCTTGAGGGATTCAAACTGTCTGTGTTTGTTGGCCTCGGGGCTAGATAATATTCCCATTGCTGTTTTATTTACCTATATTTACTTTTTATGTAATAAAACCATCTTACATTTGGACAGCTTGGACTGTGAGTATAGAAGTTCAGGGCTGCACGTGTCCATCAGTGAGGCCACACTTGGAGTACTGTGTCCAGTTCTGGGTTCCCCAGTACAAAGAGGGGTATGGTGTTACTGGAGCAGGTCGAGCAAAGGGCCACTAAGATGATTAAGGGACTGGTGCATCTCTCCTATGAGGAGAGCTATCCAGCTGAGAGAGCTGGAGCTGTTGCGCCTAGAGAAGAGAAGGCTCTCTTTAACACTGAGAGATGTCTCTGCTAAAGGGGAGAGCTGCCTGCTGTGCAGTCCAGTTGCCTTCCAGGAAGAATTCATATTGGGCTCATCCAGCGATCTGTTGTTGGTGAAAGATCTTGTTGCTTCAAGGAGCACCCTTGAGAGGTGTTCCACCTAAAGGGAAAATCATCACCATGCAGCCACTCTGCCTATCAGGGAGAGCTCAAAGAAGGCTCACTTAGGGTGTCATACTTATCGGATAAAGTGTTTGGCTCAAGCCCCACATTGGGCACCAAAAAGACTGTGGTGGTTTCACTTGGCTAGCAGCCAAACACAGCCCCTTGCTCACTCTCCCCCCACGTAGGGAATAGGAGCGAGAATCAGAGGGCTAAGGAGACATGTAGATTGAGATAAGAACAATTTAATAATTGAAATAAAACTTAAAATAATAATTATAATAATGGTAAAAATAATAATAATGCAATCACAGAATCACAGAATGGTAGGGGTTGGAAGGTACCTCTAGAGTTCATCTAGTCCAACCCCCCTGCCAAGGCAGGTTCACCTAAAGCAAGTTGCACAGGACTGCATCCAGGCAGGTTTTGAATATCTCCAGAGAAGGCACAACTTCTCTGGGCAGCCTGTTCCAGTGCTCTGTCACCCTCACAGTAAAGAAGTATTTCCTCATGTTTAAGAGGAACCTCCTGTGTTCCAGCTTTTGCCCCTTGCCCCTTGTCCTATCACTGGCCACCACTGAAAAGAGTCTGGCCCCATCCTCTATCAAGATACCCTTTAGATATTTATAAACATTAATAAGGTTCCCTCCCAGTCTTCTCTTTTCTAGGCTAAACAGGTCTAGCTTTCTCAGTCTTTGCTCATAAGAAAGATGCTCCAGCCCCTTAATCATCTCAGTAGCCCTCCGCTGGACTCTCTCCAGAAGTTCCCTCTCTCTCTTGAACTGGGGGGCTCAGAACTGAACACAATACTCCAGATGTGGCCTCATCAGGGCAGAGTAGAGGGGGAGGAGAACCTTCCTCGGCCTGCTGGTCACACTCTTCTTAATGCGCCCCAAATTACATACAATGGGAGAGGTATGCACGAGACTCCTTCTACCCACAATTTATTGGTGTTCACTGTGTCACTCTGCTCCTTTGTGAGTTTCCTAGAGGACTTCTTGGCCCAGCTATAGCTCAGGCCTTTACCTCCTTTGGAGCTTTTATCAAACTGCTACTGGTTAAGGGGGGGACCAAGTGCATCCGTCATACCAATTAAGCAGGAAATTTATTTCTGGTCTTCTGAATTAGTTCCTAGCCACTGTTGCTTGTTAGTGTTCATACCTCTTCTTATGACAGCACAGAAAATCCCTGTCATGGTTAAAATATAACTACAGGACCCCTAAAGAAACTATACACTGGAACATGATGAAACAGTGAAGGGGAATGGTTTGGCTTGGAGAATGGCAGTCAGCTTGCATCTTTTGAGGGTGCAGTGCCCTACATGATTCATGTGTAGGAGCTTAAGTAAAAGCAAAGAGGATGATGCACTTCACCTATGCCACAAACATACAGCCTATACTTTTGTTAGTTTATTTTACCTTGTGCACAATGGAA